TTATCCTTTTTCCTGCCTCTGTCTCTTTCTCCACTGCCCCTCCCCTTTTCTCTCATTCTTTCTCTCTGTCTTTCCTAGGTCCAGTCTCTGCTTCCCTCCTTCCTGGTCTCTTTTTGTCTCTGCTTCTCTCCCTCCCACAAGGTCGCAGCCTCTGTTTCCATGCTCCTTCTTTCTGACAGTCCCCTGGCTAAGCTGGTGGACATGCTGGAGGAGAAGGTGGAATCAGGGGGCCCCAGGCACACTTGTGCCCAGCAGTGTGCAGGTCATCTGGCAAGGGGTGCAATGCACGGCCACTGTCTTCTTTACCAAAGTCAGAAGAGATCAGAGGGCCAGGCCTTGGGTCAGCAGCCTGGCTTCCATACCAGGCCCACTGGAGGGGTTCATAGTGAAGGACCAGGCACTGAAGCCCTGAGACTAAAAGTAATATGGTTGCTTCTTTAAGAGGGAAAGCCTGACCATCCAGTCAAGGGAAGGAACAATGCATAGTAATTGGACTTGAAGCTTGTCCAACAAAGGTTTCCCCTTCAAACTCTTGGTGGGGTTGGGGACACTGTTTTGTCATGGAGCGGGGATGGGTTGGGGCAGCAAACAAAAGAGGAGGGTGACCGGTGTCTTCTTGGCCAGTCCGCAGTTCCCCTGGGCCTCGGAGCTGGGCTGGGTGTACCCAGAGCTTCTTTCTGGGCATCTTGCAGGAGATAGCGTGCTCTGAGTGTGCAGAGGAAATTACTCTCTTGGAGGAGAGACAAGCAAAATGACGGGAAGAGATTTCTAGAGGGTTCTGGATGGTGTGGGGTACTAGAAAAGCAGAGTGGGGATGGGGGCAGTTTTCTCCAAATGTAAGGTGATGCCTTTTAGGGGAAGCATGAAGCTACCATGGCCCAAGGTGTGGTGCTGACGGTGCTGATGGGCTCGTGTCCTCACATGAAGTCTGCAGGGAGTGAGAGGTGGACAAGCGATGTGGACCCTCCAGTCTGCATCTTGAAGGGGAGGAGGTGGAAAATTTCCTGGTGACAGGCTGGTGTGGTGACTGGGGGCGCTGTGGGAGAGGAAATGGGACCCCGTCCTGCGTGGCTGATGGAGGAAGACACTGCTTCCCCCACGGGAGCCCCAGGGGCCCCACGGGGCCACGTCCTGCCCCTGTTCTGAGGTCCTTCCTCTCACGCCTCAGTCTCTGTTGTTCTCTTCCCCTCTGTGTCCACATGTGTGCTAAGTCACTTCAGTCATGTCTGGCTCTTTGTGACCTCATGGACCTTACTTAGCCCGCCAGGATCCTCTGTCCATGGGATTCTCCAGGCAAGAATACTGGAGTGGGTTGCCATTTCCTTCTCCAGGGGATCTTCCTAGCCCAGGGATCACACCTGCATCTCCTGTGGCTCCTGCATTGTAGGCAGATTCTTTTCCACTGAGCCCTGGGGGGAAGCCCCCTCTTCTTTTGTCCCCACCCATTTTCTGTCTCAGCCCCTGTATTCTTCCTCTTGTCCTCCTGTCTCTCTTGGCCCCCCACCCCGGTTTCTCTCTTGGCCTCTCTGTGCCGTCTGGTACAAGGAGAATCCCCTCTTTTCATAAACATTTCCTCCCACTGGGCACTGGGTGACCCGTGTGTGTGTGTGTGTGTGTGTGTGAAGGGGCTTCTGGTTCAGTCAAGGTACAGCAGGCTGTGGAGGCTGTGGCTGAAGGTGAATGGGGTAAGGGCCGGGGCTGCCATCCCTCTGGGTGGTGGGCAGAGTGGTGGACAGAGCCAGGCTTCCCAGGCAGAGGCATCTTCCACCTCACCCCTCCCTGGGCCCACACTCATTCTAGGAAAATCACAAGAGCCCTCCCCAGCATGACCGGCGCACACAAAGCACATTGTTCTCCTCCCGGGCCTCTCCCCGGGCCTCTCCCAGCCCCTGCCAGCTTTGCTGCCAGTTCCTGATGGCAAGCTGGCAGCCTCGCTCTCCGCGGCCAAGACTGCCCACCTGACGTGGTGGGGCTCCTTCCGCTGCTTATCTGTTGTCCCCTCTCAGGAGGCAGGGGCAAGAGCCACTCTGGGGCAGGGACAGGCACACTGAGCCTCAGGCATGGCACCCACGCCCCTACCTGCCAGCTGCCCACCCCCTACACCTTGCCCCATTCTAGGAGCTGTTCGGGCTGGTCAGCCCTCCATTCCCACCCCAGACTGCTTTTTTCCCAAAAGTCTTTGAAGAGATCAGTTTTCCTGCATGGAAAGCTCATGCTCTCTTTACTCTGTTTCTTGGGCTTTTATTCCTGCCTACAGCTCACCTCCTCTGGGAAGCCTTCTTGGATTGCCCACTTTCCCTCCAACCTATTCCTTCTAGGCACTGCCAGATGGCTGGGCCCACAGTGGACCCACTGTGTGATTGATATCCAAGTCTCCTGGCTGAGTGTTATTCCTAAGAACAGCCTGGGGCAAAGAGAAGATGCCAGCACTACCACCCCTCAGCTGCCAGGCACTTTTCATGCATTATTGACTTCATTCAAACAGCAGTCCTTTCAGGTAGAGATTATTATTCCCTTTTGACAGATGAGAAAACTGAGGCTCCGAGAAGTTACCAACTTGCCTGAGGTCACACAGCAACACCCCCTAATCAAGACACTCTCAAACTGAGACTTCCAGGGTAGGGGAGGGGCAGTTCTTCCCTGCCCCACCACCCCCACACCCGTACCAAGGACTTGGAATATTTTAGCTCCAGGGCATGTTTGAATGGAGGGTCCAGGTATTGCTACCAGAGTTTGGGATGAAAGGCGGGAGGATGGATGCAATGATTGTCCTCCCTGTGAAGACCTCCCAGCACCACTGTCAGAGGTCTCAGCCCGTGGCTCTGCCTTGGGGGCAAACTCTCCTTAGCTTCAGGTCCCTACCCAGTTCCCTGGACCACACCTTAGTCTCCCTTCCTCAGGGCTGGCCCCGAGGTGCCTGAGGAGGCCTGGTTTGGAGCAGCCTGCTAGTTCACTTGGATAGGATTTCCCCAGCATCTCCATCCAAAGTGTTTCTCTGGCTTTGCGAGGACCCTGGATCCAGACTTCTCATCCCCGTGACCATACAGAGAGCCCACACCTCCTCTTCCCACCTTGTCTCTGCACTCCCTTCTTTCTTCTTCTGGGATGCATACTATGTGCAAAGCATTGGGCCTGAATGCCATGTATGTGGGTCCCTCAAGAGCCGACCAAACAGAAGCATGATCTAATGTAATAGGAGTCCATGCAGGGCACTGTGGGAGCCCAGGGAAGAATGCGGAGGCAGGCAGGCGCCTTTCTGGACCAGCCTTGATGGGTAGGCAGATAACGGGGCCTCTGTGTGTGGACCTGGTGGAGGGAAGTGCCTTCAGGCCACTCCCCAGAGAAATCTTCCATCTTGGACTGTGAGCTGCTGGGCAGGGCCCTTCTCCTCTGAAGCAGTGTTTCTCAGACTGCCTGGGGGAAGGATCAGTTGTTTTCTTTTAAATTCCAATTTGTCAGAGACCAATAAAATTATAAAATACAGTACAGAAGAATTGCTAGAAAAAGAAAATAAGACATCCAAAAGACAAGCCCCAACATTCTATTGTTGGATACAACAGACATAAAATCACCCTGTCAAATAGCTACTAAGAGTCTGAGTGCCTTGGGCAGGGTCTGCACTGACCTGTCCTGGGCAGCCGTGGCCGGTGGGTAGGTGACTCCTGGAGCGTTACTGCCCTGGGGCAGGGTGTCCAGGCTGCAGGTCATGACCTGCTACTGGGGTGGGAAATTAATTCCCCAGGTCGTGACCAGCATTTTCAAAACACAAAATAGAACAGAGTAGGAAATGCAGCGTCTTACCTATAGTAGCTGAAGTCTGGTTTTATGAAACGTTTCTTTCAGGCGTCTGCACGCACGCACACACACACACACACATACACACACGTGTGCGAGCTTGCCCTGGTTTGGGAGGTGAGATGTCTGATGGGGTCTGTGGCCAGGTGCCCCTCCCCACAGTGCTGTATAGACCGAATCTGCTCTCTAGTGCCACCGTCCCCACCATCCCACCCCCCTGAACCCCTCTTTCCCTCGCTCTAGAGCCTGTTTCTTTCCTTTCTTCCTCCCGCCACCTCTGGGCTCTGGTACCCTGGTCCTTCCACTTGCCCGTTTCTTTTTTGTGGACCGTCCTCCTTCCTTTTTCACATTTCCCAGATGGTCCCTTCCTCCTGGGCCCCCTTGAATCGGGCCGCTAGTGCTGCACTGGGTCCAGGTCAGCCCCCAGATGCCGAACAGAGGTCCTTGTGCTCTAGGAGAGAGTCGTTGTCCTAGCGGATCAGAGTTGTTCTGGGGGATCAGGGATTGGATTGCAGAATATAAAGGAATGTATGATAGTAACTGAACCCTGAACCCAAGGTCCTGCTGGGCTTGGAGACTTGGTTCTCCCTGGAGGTTCTGGGTGGGGAGAACCATATGACCCCATCCAGCGTCCCTGCTGAGCCATCACCTCCTCTTTCAGGGCTCTGTAACTTATTTAAACAATTTTCTAGAAATGGACTGCTGAGTTGTTTCCAGCTTTTTTTTCTTTTAAAGAATTCTAAGCAATTAGAAAAGATGCTGTAATGAACATCTTTGTTCCTCTCCTTCACCACATTTGAGCTGCTGACTCCCTGAGATCCCCTCACTTCACCCCCCATTTATCTCATCTCTAACCACACTTGGCCCACATTTCTTCTCAGCCCCCAGCTCATGTCCTGGGGCAGAAGATGAGCCAGAGGTTTGGAAAATGTGATCTCCTTACTCCTCAGGCCACACATCATCCTTCCTTACAACGACTCATTTGCTTTCTTCAGCCAGACTTCCCAAACACCAAGCTGTATCATAAGAACTTTTGACTGGAAGTCACAGAAAACCCAGCTCAAAATGGTTTAGATAATACAGGAAGTTTTCATTTCATAAGAAAAAAATGTCCTGAGGTAGGGTGGGTCCAGGGTGGTTAAATGAGTGGGTCTACCACTTCATCAAGCATCCTGGTTCTTTCTGTTTTTCTGCTCTGTTCTCAGATGTTGGCTTGCTCCTTAAATACTATAGTTCTCCTCATGATTGCAAGACGGCTGCTGAAGATCCAGATATCACATCCAGACACGATAAGTCTGGAGGTTGAAGAAAGACCATCTTTTTCTGTGGGTGTATTTTTAATAAAATTAATATTTATTTATTTGACTGCATTGAGTCTTAGTATTTTAATTGCCTCATGTGAGATCTTTCGTTGCAGCGCATAGACTTTGTAGTTGTGGCTTTCAGGCTCCAGAGTGTGCGGGCTCAGTAGTTTCCAAGTGCGGGCTTAGTTGCTCTGTGGCATGTGGGATCTTAGTTCCCAGATCAGGGATTGAACCTGTGTCCCCTGCATTATAGGGTGGAAATTCCTCTGGGTGTATTTTTTAGATCAAGGAAACTTTTCTCTGAAGTGCCAATAGCGAAACTTACCATTGACTCTCATAGGCAAAGGTTAAGACACACGCACATTCCTTGGTTAACTCTTGGTAGGGAGAATGAGGCTTCCCTGGCTAGTGAGGCATGGGGCTGTAGGAGGTGGGCTGGGTTTTGAAGGAGAAAAGGGGTCTGGGGACAGAGACTGAATAGACAAGTCATAGTGTCTACCAAGTCTCCCCAGTGATGGATGGACTCCATTTCTGTGTTTCTCAACCAGCTGGGCCTGTGGCTGCTGCTCTGGAGACTTAGCTTGAAACTGATTCAATTAGAAAACATTTTTTGAAGGAATGAGATATGGTTTCGCCCTGGAGGGATTTTGCTGCAATGCGGGAGAGAAGAGAGCAGGGCCAGCATACATGGCCTGGGAAAGAAGGCTAAATTTGTTGAAACTGGAGACAGGAAGTGCTCTAACCTTTCTGAAGCAAGGAGTTGATGAGGATTCTTGTTCCTGCTGGATTAGATGCAGGGGGCAGACTGAGATGACCTTTGAGCTGGGCTTCCCTTGGAGCTGAGGCCAGCTCTGTGTCAGGGATGGGGACCCTGGAGGGACAGAGGTAAGGTAAGGTAAAGGCACTCCCCCCAAGTCAGGGTCCCCTTTCTCCTGGCCCTCAGATGGGTCTTGTCCTTGCCGGTGAGTCACAGAGGGACAGGAAGGAGAGAAGGAGGGCTCTGAGTCAGGAGCCTACCTGGGGAAAAAGGCAAACACAGAAAGGAAGTGACTCAAGGCCTACAGGGCAGACAGGTGGTCTGTGGTGCCTGGGGACAGGGCCTGGGGGTGTTGGCCAAGGGCGAGGGTCCCCTCCCCAGAGGCCATGGTGCACGCCATGCTGGCTATTTCCGCCCACCATGTTTCCCACAAAGCCTTTCCCTCCTCACCACAGCAGGCTGGCTGCCCACTCACCCACAAACCGAGCCACCAGCTGTTGCGATTCCTGGCACTGGTCCACCCCCTGCATCCGGCAGGGCTCTTCACCTCTGACCCCAGAAGGTGGGTCAACCCCTTCGGCTGCCTACCCCTGGTCCATCTTCCCTGCCCTCTCACCCAGAAGGGAGAGATGCTGGGGCTGCTAGAGGGTGGGGCTCTTCTGAGCAAAGCAGATGCATCTGTACAGACGTGTATGATGAGGCCGTCCTGGGGGTCAGAGCTATCAGGGTCACATCCAGGTGGAGGGGTGGGGACAAAGGTAGTGGGAGCCGAGGCCTCGTGAACCACTGTATCCTCGGCTGGGAGCAAGTCAGAGGGGCTTTTGTTCTAGCAACTGGAGTTCGGGTTTGAGGTCAGGGCCCCAGCTAATAATAACATGACATTTTGCTTCCTTTTACCTCTGTTCTTATGTATTAAGCTTCCTTAGGAACCTCTGAAGGAGGAGGTGTGACTGGGCCAAGGCATAATTAAGGCATATTTTAAAAAATTATTTATTCATTATTTTGGGGCTTCACTGGGTCTTTGGACTGCACGCGGGCTTTCTCTAGTTGTGGAGAGCAGAGGCTACTTTCCAGTCGCCGTGAGTTGGCTTCTCATTGCAGTGGGTGCTCTTGCTGTGGCTCATGGACTGTAGGCACATGCGCTTCAGTAGTTGTGGCACACGGGCTTAAGTTGACCTGCAGCACGTGGGATCTTACCAGACCGGGGACTGAACCTGTGTCCCCTGAATTGGCAGGCAGATTCTTAACCACTGGACCCCTAAGAAAGTCCAATTAAAGTATATTATATTAAATTTTATTTTACTAATGTTAGGCCACATTATAGGTAGGAATTCCCAGGTGGCGCTAGTGGTAAAGAACTTGCCTGCCAATGCAGGAGACGTAAGAGATGTGGGTTCAATCTCTGGGTCAGGAAGATCTCCTGGAGGAGGGCATGGCAACCCACTTCTGTATTCTTGCCTGGAGAATCCCATGAACAGAGGAGCTTGGCAGGCTAAAGTCCATAGGGTTGCAAGGAGTTGGATACGACTGAAGTGATTTAGCAATGCATGCATATTGTAGGTAAGTTTAGCAACTTGTTTTTTTTCACTTATTATTATTTTAGATATCCTTCCACAATAGTATATATAGAAAGCCTCCTTATTCTTTTAATAGCTGCATAGAATTTCACTCTAATGAAGACCCTATAATGGAGAAGGCAATGGCACCCCACTCCAATACTCTTGCCTGGAAAATCCCATTGACGGAGGAGCCTGGTAGGCTGCAGTCCATGGGGTCGCACAGAGTCGGACACAACTGAAGTGATCTGGCAGCAGCACCAGCAGCAAGACCCTATAAATGAAACTCTGGGTTGTTCCCAGAACTGCTCCTTTAAAAAAATTATAGACAATGCTGCAATGAATATCTTTGTCCATTTACCTTTGCTGCCAAGTCGCCTCAGTCGTGTCCGACCCTGTGCGACCCCATAGACGGCCGCCCACCAGGCTCCGCCGTCCCTGGGATTCTCCAGGCAAGAATACTGGAGTGGGTTGCAATTTCCTTCTCCAATGCATGAAAATGAAAAGTGAAAGTGAAGTTGCTCAGTCGTGTCCGACTCCTAGCGACCCCATGGACTGCAGCCCACCAGGCTCCTCTGTCCATGGGATTTTCCAGGCAAGAGGACTGGAGTGGGGTGCCATTGCCTTCTCCACCATTTACCTTTGGGCACACGCAAAAGGTTTTTGCAGGATAAAATCCAAGAAGTTAAACTTACAGGTCAAAGAGTATGAACATTTAAAATTTCATGCTACTGCTGCTGCTAAGTTCCTTCAGTCGTGTCCGACTCTGTGCGACCCCATAGACAGCAGCCCACCAGGCTCTGCCGTCCCTGGCATTCTCCAGGCAAGAACACTGGAGTCGGTTGCCGTTATAGGTAATGACTAATTGTTCTCCACAATTTACTGATTTTCCTTCCATAGTGAGACAGCCTTGTAACCACAACTTTGTGTGGTATGACTCTTCTTAGGGACTTCCCTGGTGATCCAGTGGCTAAGACTGTGTGCTCCAGATGCAGGGGGCCCATTGTTTGACCCTTGGACAGGGAAACAGAGCTCACATGCTGCAACTAGATCCTGTGTGCCACAACTAAGGCCTGGTGCAGCCAAAAAAAAAAAAAAAAAGGAATCTTCTTAATTTTTGCCCACCTGATATGTGAGAAATTGTATCTTGTTTCCATTTGCATTTAAAATCATTAGTGAAATGGAACATTCGTATATTTTTATCAGCCAGTTGTGTTTTTTGTGAATGACCTATGTATATTCTTCACCTGTATTCTCCCACTGGATTATTGTCTTTTCCTTATTGCTTTATAAAGGATGTCTTTTTTGAATTAGGAAAACGAGCATCTTGTCATACATCTTGTGGCTATTGTTCTCTTATTTCATCCGTTGATTTTGTTTATGGAGCTTTTTTCTTTTAATTTCTACATAGATGCATTTACGAATCTTCTCTGTTGTGACTTCTGTTTTGTTCTGTGACTAGGAAATCCTTTGCTACCCCAGGATCATAAAAACATTTACACACATTTTCTTCTGGCATTTTTATGGCTTTAGTTTTCAAATGTTTTCTTTTCAAAAAAATTTTTTTTTTAAAAATCTTTGATCCTGCTAAAATTTGTTTCAGTGTTAGGAATGAGGTAGGAAATGTAGATTTATTTGTTTTTGTCCTAGTGTCTCAGTATATTGAATTGAATTCTTATGTTGATTTGGGTCAGTTTATTTCAGCATTCTTTACAACTGATCTGTCTGCCTATACCAGTCCCATACTATTTTAATTATTATGGTTGTATAATATTTTAAAAAGTATTTTATAAGGCTACTCCCCATCCCCCTTGCTGGCTTGCTTCTTTTCTTCCAGGAATTTTCTGGCTATTCTTTTCTATTTATTTTTCCAGATGAATTTATAGTCACTTTGTCACATTTTCTAAAAAAAGAATCTATTGAATTAATGTATTCATTATGGGAACTTTGACATGCTTTCACTGTTATTGATTTTTTATCCAAGAACAAAGTCTTCCTCTTTCCATTTATTCAAGTCTATGATAAAGTCCCTCATTTGGGTTGTATAACTCTTTCCATGTATGCTTGCACATTTTTTTCTACATTTCATGTTATGATTTTATTGACTTTGTGCATGGGACCTTAATTCTTGTGTTTAGGAAATCTTGTTATTTAAAAAAATTAAAAAAAAATTTTTTTAATGTGGGCCATTTTTAAAGTCTTTATTGAAATTGTGACAGTATTGCTTCTGTTTTATGTTTCATTTTTTTGGCTGTGAGGCATATGGGATCTTAGCTTCCTGACCAGGGATCAAAACTGCATCCCCCGCATTGGAAGTCAAAGTCCCAACCACTGGACCACCGGTGAAGTCCTGGAAATCTTGTTTTTAAACTAGTCACCTTGCTAAATCCTTTGATTATTACCAGAAGCCCTTTAGCTGATCCTCTTAGAATATCCATGTATAGAATATCATCCAATGATAGTAATTATGCTTTTTCCTTACAATATTTATATTTATTTTATTTTTTTATCTAATTGCATTGTCAAGTAACTCTAGATTTATGTTAAATACTTGTGGTGGTATTTGATGGGGACAGCTGACATCTGTTTCTCATATGAAGCTACTTCTAGACTCTTCTCAAAAATATGTTGTTACATAATAAGATTGTGGGTTACTGTGAGGAGATCCAACCAGTCCACCCTAAA